AGACCAACTTTACACGTGACTGGGTCACACTCCCCTGCTGGGTGCTGAGGCGCTCAGTCACAGAAATGTGGTGTCTCCTGCATGGGTGTGTCTTGCTACAGCCTCATGGGTGGAGCTATGCTCACCTGTTTCTTTGTAATCTAACCCCTTGCCCTGTTTAGGATAGAATCTTCCATGGAAGTGCCTTGTGTGTGTCCCCTCCTCTTACTGTGCCCTTGGGTGTGGCCTACCCAGGTGTCAGTCAACCTGCTGACAGTGGACATCATGAAGATACTCAGCCCCCTAAAACCTGACCCCTTGCCTCATTTGAATAGCTTCTCCTCAATAAAAGGGGTCAGGGCGTGCTCTCCCTCTCTCTTTCTGTGGACCCTTAAGGTCAGAGGAGCCGTCACAGCAGCCCCAATGAAAAAGGTATTTGTGTCTCTTATGAGGTTATTTCGTGCAGCCCAGTTAGCCCAGTTCAACTGGAGTGAACCATGAGCCTTTTCGTCGCGAGAATAGAAACCCGGCAGCATCCCATGCCCCACTCCACACCAAATGATCTACCTGCAGATGCAAAGCAATCCTTATGAAATCCCAGCACCCTTTTCTGCAGAAATTGATGACCTGATCCTAAATTCACATGGGACTGCAAGGTACCCTGAAAAGCCAAAACAATCTTGAAAGAGAAGAATAAAGTTAGATGACATGCTTCACAATTTCAAAACCCACTATAAAACTAAACAAGGGCTGGGGATGTGGCTCAAGCGGTAACGCGCTCGCCTGGCATGCATGCGACCCGGGTTCGATCCTCAGCACCACATACCAACAAAGATGTTGTGTCCGCCGAAAACTAAAAAATAAATATTAAAAAAAATAATAAAAAAATAAAGTGGAGTTGCTTAGGCTCAGGCCTAAGGCCATCCCATCCTAACACTAAAAAAAAAAAAAAAAAAAAAAAACTAAACAAGATTATGCCCTACGGCCAAAGGGTAGATGTAGATGTCTGTGTCAATGAATTAGAACTCAAGTCCAAAAATAAACCCATACAGTCACAGACAACTGACAGTGCCAAACAATTCAGTGGAGAAAGAAATCTCAGCAAATGGTCTGGAACCAGCCACCACGGTGGTGCTCGCCTGTGATCCAGCTGCTCTGGAGGCTGAGGCAGGAGGGTCACAAGTTCAAAGCCAGCCTTAGCAAGATTCAGCAGGACCTTGCCTCAAATAAAAAACAAAAAAGGTTGGGCTGTAGCTCAGTGGTAAAGTGCCCCTGGGCTCACTCCCCAAGACCCAAAACAAACAAACAAAAACAAATGGTGGGGCTGGGGTTGGGGCTCAGTGGTAGAGCACTCGCCTGGCATGTGTGAGGCCCTGGGTTCGATCTTCAGCACCACATATAAATAAATAAAATAAAAAATCCATTGACAACTAAAATATATTAAAACAAAAACAAAAACAAATGGTGGGGCTTGGGTTGTGGCTCAGTGGTACAGCGCTTGCCTAGCATGTGGGAGGCACTGGGTTTGATTCGCAGCACCACACAAACAAAATAAACAAATAAAATAAAGTTATAAAGAAATAGTGCTAGAAAAACTGGATAGTTAAATACAAAAGAAGGAAATTGGGTTGGACGGGTGGCACATGCTTGCCTTGGGCTTGCAATCCTCCTGCCTCAGCCTCCAGAACCGCTGAGCGGAGGTGGTGTTTTGTGGTACTGGGGATTGAACCCAGGGCCTTGCACATGCCAGGCAAGCACTTTACCACAGAGGTACATCCTCACCAAGAGCTAGGATTACAGGTATGTGGCAAAGCAATAGTTTTGGATAGTTTCTTGGATATGGCACAAAATACACAAACAGCCTGCCTGTAATCCCAGATACTTGGGAGGCTGACACAAGAGGCTCACAAGCTGAGGCCAGCCTGGGCCACTTAGTAAGACCCTGTCTCAGAAAAGAGCACAAGATGATGTTGGGGTTGTGGCTCAGTGGTAGAGTGCTCGCCTAGCATGCACAAGGCACTGGGTTCAATCCTCAGCACCACATAAATGTAAAATAAAGATACTGTGTCCACCTAATGCTTAAGAATAAATATTTTTTTAAAAAGTACAAGAGGTAGGGTCTAAGGGAGGCCTCTAGGTTACTGATAGCATATCCTTGAAGGGACTTATGGGACTGAGCCTCTCTTTGCTCTCGTTTGTCCCTGCCTCACAAGGTAGGTAAGTCTACTCCAGCACACGCTCTCAGAATGATGTGCTGCCAACTGATCCTGAACTGCAACTTCCAAAATTATGAGCCAAAATAAACCTTTTCTCTTTATACACTGATTATCTCAGGTAATTGTTACAGTTACAGAAGGCGGACTAACACACTTAGTGATCTTACTCTGAAAATCTTACATTCCTAAAAATGTGAAAACATATATCAACATATAAACTCATATGCAAATGTCCGTAACAGCATTTCTCATGACAGGTAAGAAGAGGAAACCAATCAAATGTCCATTAACTGATGAATGCATTAAAAGATGGATTTCTAGCTCCGACCAGTGGTACACACCTGTAGGCTGGGGCATGGAACACTTGAACTCAGAAATTCAAAGCCAGACTGGGCAGGTATTTGTACACCCATGTTCATAGCAGCATTATTCATCCATTTACTCTGTGTGTGTGTGTCTTATTGGTTATTTGGAATCCAACCCAGAGCCTCCCACATGCTAAGCAGGTGCCCTACCACTGAGCTACACTCCCCCCAATTGTAACAGCATCATTTAGTACAGCCACAAGGTAAATATCCATCAGCAGAATGAATACAAAAGCAAAATATGGCATAAAAAATGATAGAATTTCATATAATTCGACCTTAAAAAGGAAGGAAATTCTGACATATATTGAACTTGGATGAATCTTGAGGACATTATGCTAAGAAAAATAAGCCAAAATAAATAAACAAATAGCCAGTCACAAAGGGACAAACACTATCTGGTTCCACTCATATGAGGTTCCGAGAGTCATCAGATTCATAGAAGCAAAGCTGAATGGTGTTACCAAAGCTGGGAGAAGAGGGGACCTGCAGTTAGTGTCTAATGGGCACAGAGTCCCAGTTGGTGGCTGCACTACCAAGAAACCTACTTAACAGCACAAATCTCCACACTTGAAAAGGGCCAAATGGCGAGTTTTATGTTATTTTACCACAAACATGCAAACAAAAGAACCAGGGAGCAACTCAAGATCTTGACTGGATCTTTGGTTGGAACAAATTTCTATAAATGACAAATTGAGATAATTAGCACATCTGGAATATGGATTGTAAATTCGGTAATTGAATCAATGATTTTTAAAAATTTTTGCAATTGTACTAGGAGATGTAAGACAATACTCTTTTTTGGATGATACTGAAAATTTAGGGGTAAAAGGGCATGATGTATACTGTTTATTTTCAAATGGTTGAGATGGAGATAAATATATGTTTTATTTATGTTATATATATA